GGCAAAGGAAATGAGAGACTTCTTCGACAGAATCTGTAATCCTTTTCCACTCAGATGAGCCAACCTTCTATGCCACAAATCTGGTAAAACATCTTCTTCTTCTGCATTTAGAATATCTCTAATTATCTTCACTTGAGTCTTACACAGTGCGTGACATAGTTTACCCCTTATAATCACAATTAAACCTTTGATGAGTTTCCATTCTGTCACCAAATGAGTTATAATAACCATCAAGATCTAGAGCATATGTAGAAATCATATTTAAGCGTAAATCAGGCACATGTCGCACTTTTTTCAGAGTCAATGTGCAACCAACATCTGTTTGCACACAAATATCATTGATACCCACAATATCTGCATAACTGGTTGTAATATTCAGCTGGGCACCAGGTGGGTAGAAAAAAAAAGAAAAAAAGAAATAATAATAATAATATACATAATTAATTATAATGAAAAAAAGAGGATAAAAAAAAAGAAAGACCCAGAAGTGTGTACATCTCTGGGAGCACAAACAAACCGTGGCAAATATATATGTACATATATATATGTAAGTATATATATAATTAAAAAAAAGAACGTACAGAGAAAGAGAACAAACCAAATGGTAAAAATATATATATGTATATATATCTAATGAAAGAGTAGAGAAAAAAAAGAAAAAAAAAAAGAAAGAGAGAAAAGAGCGAGGAGAGAAAGATGCGATAGTGAGAAGAGAGAAAGGGTTGAGTAGCGTCGACGGCCGAGAGAGATGGGTAGCATGGTGTTGCATGACACCACAACCAAAAAAGAAAGAAAGACAAGAGCAATCGTCGTTGGTTAGAGAGAGAAAAGAGGAAAGAGAGAGAAAGAAGAGACGTGCTCGGGTAGAGAGAGAAATAGAGAGAGAGAGAGAGAGAGAGAGAGAGAGAGAGAGAGAGAGAGAAGAAGAAAAATAAAGAAGAAGAACAAGAAGAAAGAAGAAAAAGAAAGGAAAAAGGAAAAAGGAAGAAGAAAGAAAAAAAAAAGCTACAGGAAAGGAGGAAAAAGAAGAAGGAAGGAAAAAAAAAGAAGAAAAAAAAGAAAGAAAAAAAAAGAGAGAAGAAGAAAAGATAAAAAAAAAAGATAAAAAAAAAAGAGAAAAAAAGAAAAAAAAGAAAAACAAAGAAAAGGAAAAAAAAGAAAAGAAAGAAAAAAATTAAATTAAATTAAGGAAGAAAAATGGAAGGGTGGCGACCAAATCTGATGTTGATGCGCTGCATACGACAACACGCACTGATTCGATCATCAGCGCCTGACATTTTCGGTAACACGGGTATGATGGTGCGTGGTGACGTTGGTGACCAGGACTGCGTGTCCTAAGGTAAAATGTGTTCCTCATTTTGCATAATATAATTTTCAAAATTATTTATAATTTAATATATGTGTTTTCTATTATAAACGAGGAAAACCACCCAAACGGTATTCGGATTTCCGAGAGGACCGTAGATCGAATTAAAAAAGATTCACAAAACTTTCCTGATCATACCATATATAAGAATTGTGTGTATTCCGTACGGAAACATAAATTATATATTTATATAAATGTGTATATGTATAGTGCATTATGTGTGAATGTTTAAATGTATATGTAATATACTATGAATATAATTAATATGTCTAATTTGTATTTGTATGTATTTATATAGTGTATATATATCTATGTTGGTACGCATATATATATAATATACGATAGATGAGATAAGAATTGATAAGAATAGAGCTGAAATGCGTGAATAAATATGTATGTAGTATGTTGTGCGTGATTGTGTATACGTATTTAAGTATGAATGTGTATATATATCGGTAGAGATTGTGTGTGTAAATATAAATATATATTCTATGTGAGACATCTAGTGAGGGTACATGTTTGTATTATAATATATATGTGTATTAATATGTGTGTACAAACGTTATGTATGTGAAATGTATAACCAGTGTGTGTACGTGTGAAATTTGAGTACATTGCACTTGTTGTGTGATCTGATGCAGATGTACGACACACTATACTTCCTGTGTGATCTGGTACAGTTGCATGAGAAATCTGAGTATCATGTACTTATTGTGTGATCTAGTACATAATGATTTTAGAAAGTGGTTTGAAATGTATGGCTTTTATGTGTGTGATGATATCGTATATTGTGTGTGTATTTATATTTAATTATGCATAACAGTTAAGATCTTAGGTATGAAATAAGTACATTAAAAACAAGAGAGATTTGAAAAGAGTATAGAGTGCAAGGACTCTGGATACTTACTCGTTCAGTCTGAATCGAGGAGAGGAATGTGTGTAGCTGAAGTTTAGCAGGTTTGGTGAACTTACACATGGATAGAGTTTGAAACCTAATTTAAACATGAATAGGTATTTATAAATGGGTCACCTAGCAAACGTAACTGTTGTGGCCAATGTGAGATTTTGTGTGTGTGTTATCCATGCGATGGAGGAATCCATTTCGCCTCTCCTCAATGACGATATAAATGGTATCGCGCGATAGTAAGCTAATTAAGCTTTAAAAGACAAAAATAATGTGAAATTATAAATTTGAGTGGAGTGATATGTGTATGTGATTAATCCATTTTGGTTTGAGGAATCTGTGAATCCTTCAGTATAATTTGAAAGAAGAACAAGAATTAGGTTATAAGAGTGAGGATTATAATATGTTTTGTGTATTTTGGTTAGGATGCTATGTTTTGATATTTTCTTAATTATAAATATTATTATATTTTATATATTGTGTGAATGTATATAGGTAAGTCTCTGTTATAATTTTTTTTTTTTACTGAACTCGTGAAACTCATCCCAATTCACCTTCATCCACCTCAAAGGAGATAAGAATAAGTTTAAGATCAATAGGAAATGACGAAGAGAAACTTTATTAGTTTTTATTTTAATATTATAAATTATTTAGATATCTCAATTATTTGTAAACAAATAATTATTATGTCATAAGAGATGTGTATTAAAGTGTAGTTCTGCTGTATATTTAATATTTATCTATTCTAATAGTTGGAAATGCTGTGCTAACGTCCGTACCTACTGACATTGGGTTTAGAATATTACACTAGTATTACCCATCTTTACTCTGCCAAAGTTCCCTACTTTATACATAGTAAAGGTATCCTTCTTAGGTGTAGCATGGTAGGATGCTGCTGAATCAATAACTCACTCAATATTAAAATCAATAACATGATCATGATCCTTAAAAAAAAAAAGTACAACTAGTTCTTCATTATCAATTACAGCTGCTGTGGTATTCTGATCATCTATTTTTTTTTCTGATGATTCTGTTTTCTTTTCCAAATTATGTAGTTTTATTTCATATGTTTCCTCGCTACAATGATAACAACTGAATTTTTATTTATTGCGTCCTTTAGGATCTCTGTTTTTACTTCTACGCATGTTCTCTGTGACAAGGACCTGTGAGTTATTAATGCCCATATCCTTCATTTTGATCTCCTCATTATAGAGAATATTCTTTACCGTGGATGAAGACAAAACACCTCTGGGGCAGAATTACTAAGAGACATCACCAAGATTTTCCAACTATCTGGCAACGAACTCAAAAGTAATAATATATACATTTCATCATCTAGGGTTAATTTTATAATATTCAATTGATTTATCAGATCTTAGAACTTACTCAAGTGTTCTGTTATTGACTGTCCATCTCACAGCTTCAGATTCACCAACTTTTTAATAACAAAAATTTTATTTTGAGTATTTTTTCTCTCGTACATATTCTTTAATTTTTTTTACAAATCTTGTGCATTGACTTCTTTGCTTATTTAGTGATGGATACTGATATCCACCTACTGTTGAATAGTCCCAACAACTTTTTTGTGCATTTCTCTTAATCATCTTCTGATTTTTCAGTTGACTTGACAGTTCATAATTTAATAGGATCATACAAATCTCTGCAATAAAGAAGATCCTCCATCTTTGTCTTTCAAATTGAATAATTTAAAGTCGTTAGTTTAATTATAGTACCTTCGTATTCGTCTATCCTAATTTGCACAACTAGTTTCGGACCCCAGACCAATTAACAAACTAGTTAATCAAGCTCTGATACCACTTGTTGGGTCCCAAATAAAGATGAAATTAATTATGTAAATTAAATCAATCCTAAATTAATTAGCATGAATTAATAATTATAACTCTAAGCCAAATTGATGCACAACGGAGCAAATATAATAAGGAAATAATAACTAAAAAATTAGACACATGATTTTATGTGAAAAATCCTTCAGTATGAAGAAAAAGATCACAAATCAAACTCCGAATTAAATCTACTATCAACAAAAAATCAGTAAAATAATACACCAAAGATTAAATTCAGAACAAAAGAAAGTATATTTTTGTGAAGAACTTGAAGAAAAAAAAAGGAAAGTAAAATCAAATTAACTTTAATTGAGAAAAGACGAAATAGCTCATATCGGCGATGATGTCACCGATGAGAGAGAATGACAACCTCCTTTTTTTCTTTTTTTTTTCTTGGCTGGATCTTAACACTGTGACTAACCAATATTTCATAATTGATTATTGCCATACAAAGAAAAAAATATTACATATATTTTAGAAATACAGATACTTAAAATATTTTTTCTGAACTCTTAATTCACATTTTTCATTTGATATCTTTTTGAAAATTTGATTTAAACATGATATTTGTATTTCCAAAATCTTATCTCCGACAAAAACTAAGCTCATATTTAACCTAATGATTTGAGTCACAAAATTGCATATTGTAAAAAGATATGTATAATTCCTTTACATTATGATTAACACTGCTTCCAACAGAATCTATGGAAAATTCTAAAGGGCTTTAATTGTTTCACAGGATATTGAAACATTCATGAGCTTGATCCACTTTTCAAGCATGCATGCTCTGCTAGCGTGCCCTTTGAAATTTAAACCCTAAAGCATATACATAGGGAAGCTCGAAAACAAAAAGATCAAAATTCCTGGCCAAACCCATTTCTGGAAACTAATGGTTGGGACCTAAAAGAGAAAGCAAAAAGGTCCTGTAATGGCCTGATGTGTCTGAATGAACAGCATCATTTAGTGTCTTCCCATACTTCTTCCTGTATTCTGCCTTTATATATTTCATGTCAACCTCTACTCTTGTCATAATTATCCTGATCAATGTGGTATCGTCTGTCCCCAATCCTTTCATTGCTTTTCTCAACACCTGCAAATTCACAGTCTTCTAATCATTCTTCTTCCTCACTGTTAAATTCAAACATTCCAGAATTTCATGTCTATATATATGTATATGTATGTATACCTTGGCAAAATAAAATGCTGGATTTTCTGAACACTGTAAAATGGTCAGAAGGGCATGTTCAAAATTCCCAGATGTTTCATGTCTGATGGCCTGCAAAATGAATGTATTGTTAATCAATGGAGTATAGAAAAGAAACAAGGCAGATATATAAGTAAGCATTAAAAATCAGTGAAGTACCTTTCCTAAAAACTTTCCATACATTTTACGGTAAGCAGAACCAAGAGCAGCTAAATGTGCCTTGCTTCTTTCACTAAAAATCTGTATGAAAACTTTATCTTCACCTCCATGTTTCTTAGAAATAGCTGTATGAAGAGTTGTAGCATCGGCTTCTACCAGCACATTATCAATTTCTGGACCTTCATATCGTGTCGTGTTTAAATATGCAAGCAGCAGCTGCAACAAATTAAATTCTTCTTTCAAATCACAAAATTGGATTTCTTCTTAAAATCCTCTCAACTCACAGGAATAGCTACCACATCCTCATGGTTTTATAAAAGAATTTGACATGTTCATGTGAGGAAATTACCCTTTTATGATCTCCATAACATTTAGATTCGATATCATGCTCAGGAGTAGTGCCATAATCTTTAGAATAGACTTGTTTGATTTGTCGTAATTGAGCAGTAGTACGCGTACAAATTACTTCTGTAACAGCTTTATGATCAGTTAAAGATCCTCTCAAGGCTTGCGCTAGTATTTTCGCATCTCTAGTGACCGGGTCATTCATCCATAGAACAACAGCTTTCTGAAACATAAATTCATTTTGTAATTAATTATAATATTTGAATTCAAGAAATGCGTATAGGTAGTGATTAAATACATATATTTTTATATTGAAAACATGCATGCATTTGTTGTATTTGGTACCTTGAGGTGGCCATGTAGTTCTGAATAAAGTCGTTTGCTAAGTTCCTCCGAGTATTTGGTTTCATACTCCTGTTCAATCAGCCCACGTTGGGTTGCATTTCTATGTGCCAGTATATTGATTATTACTGACGTTTCACATCCTCGTCCTGATCATCTCCACACCAAAACTACTCTTTAACTTTTTTTATTTATTTTTGTTCTAATCTTCATACACCATTCTTAATGTACATATGAAGATTACATTTGGATCAAGAATAGTTATAAAGTATTCGAAGATGACAAACTCATAACTTTGATCATACGATTTCATGTTTAGCCAATTATAGAAACAAAATTTACATTGCACTAACCATTACCAATTCATCTATTCTTCTGAAACCCATATAGATATTAAGAAGTTGCTAGTTTGCCTACTTTATTTTAAAATTATTAATGGATTATGGAAATCTGATAGAGAATGGATTGGTTGCAAATCAAACTCATCTACGTGAAAACACAAACAATATTCTTATCTTACTAGTTAATTAAAAGAAGAGCTACCATCAAAGCAATTAATTGAAATATTTGTTTCATTTGTGAAATCTAGGTATTTTAGTTATCAACAAGGATCCTCTCGATTTTCTGATTGAAAGACTGAAAAATTTTAGAAATTTTTATGAATCATATTGTCGTTGAGATCGAAATTGATACTAATGATTTTGATGCATGGAAAAAAGGAAGAAATGTGGAACAAAATGCAAGCAACTTTAATGCCTCCATAGAACAAGGATTTTTTTTTTTCTCTTGTTAAAGCAATACAAATTACAAATTATGTGACTGGCAACCAACTCAATTAAAAATCATTGCAATCAGTGTGGAAAACGAAGAAGGTTACATACATGCATTTTCTATAAAAAACATATATAGATATATGTATTAAGAAAACTGTGTATGCATATATATACACACACAAGAATAGGAAATTAATGAGAATACATGAGAAAATATTACATATGCACCTTTGAAAGCTTGGTATAGCTGCATGGCATCATCACGAGGTGAAGGAGAATTTGCAGGTGTTTTCAGAGTTGCCATCTCCCTCTCTCCCTCTCTCTACCTCTCTCTCTCTCTCTCTCTCTCTATATCTGATTTATGGAAATCATATAGATTTTAAAAGAGGAAGGAAAATACTTCCCTCGATTAGATACAAATGCATAACCACTCAACAAAGTTTAAATAAATACCATGTTAATTAAAGTTAATTAACAGACTTTTAGCCCAATTTATTTGCATCTCTAATAATAACTAAGACACATATTTTATTATAACACAGACTATATATATTTATATATATATATATATATATTAAGGAGAAATACCTATATTTATATATATTCGTTGATGCCGGCAAAAACGATATCGCATAATAAAATTATTAAAATAAAAATTATAAATTTTAATAAAAATATAATTGAAAAGTAATAAGTGAATAATGTAAAGTGAAAACAATAATAACATATGCAATGATAAATAAGTCAGTGAAAAATACAAGTGATTATTAGACATTGGAAGTACAAATATTATGAAACCAATGAGTAGTATTATTTATTTATATAAATGTGATGTTAGAGTACTTGTGATATTTATATAATTATATGTGAAAGAGTGAATTTTAAAAATATGTGAATATATGGTTACTATATTGTTTGAAAATTAGTTTTAAAGAAAATATATATTTGTTTTGTAAATTTTGTGTGCGTATATTTTTACTTTGGGCATTGTCTATCTTCCTTACTAAGTCCGTGAAACTCATTCCAATTCACACCTCTTAATGCATATTAATTCAGATTAAGAGTAAGTTCAAAATTAAAGAAAAACTTTGAATAACCTTCGGTAACAGTGAGAATTTCTATCTTGTAAAGTCGGTTTAATTATATTATGGTTATAATGTAAAAAAAATTATAAATTTCATGACTTGTAATTCCGTATAGGGGATGATGGAGATAATTGAATATTAAGTTTTCACTTATTGTTACGTAAAATTACTAAATTATGTGCGTGAAATAGCGTTCATTTATCAATATAGAGAATGGATCGTTATAAAATAAGAATCATTTGGTTTATTGGACATAAATTTTCATGTAATTAGAAAAGGATATAATAATTGTTATTAGTATTTGCGTTCCAAATCCATCCCACATCTAAACCCTTGAGTTTTTTTATTTTTAGTACAAAACCGAATTTAGTTCCTTTTGAATTAAAAATAATAGAGCCGAACCACTTTTTACACAACCGAATTCAAAATTCAAGTTAATCCACAATATTCAAACCCTTAAAGCTAATTTAAGCCTCTTCTATTTTAAAATTCAAAACGAAAAACCAAATCCAGTTAACTCCAAATTTCCACTTCAAACCCAAATAAGCCCAAGCCCAGTCTAGCACTTCCTCTATCGGCCCATACCATATAATTTAAAGCCCAAACCCAAATACCTTGCACTATCCCCAAAACACACCGTTTTGGAATGGACAGAGAAGGTGAGAGGATTGAACACAATTCAGCTCTCTTCATTTACATCCTTTATGCCCACGTACTTGTAGAACATGCATTTCATCTTTCAAAAAAGAAAAAAAAAAAAAAAATTAGTTTTACATATTCCGATAGAAGCTACATACATACATATATATATATATATATATATATATATAAACTTTGAGATTAGGAGACTGCAACAACTAAACATTGTGTAGATATTTATTTACACATTCTTTTCTTTAAAAAAAAAGAAGAAAAAAGAAAAAGAGAGAAATATTAAACTTAACAATTATTAATTTAATGGGAAAGTAGAGTCTTATGCTTGAAATTCCAAGTGTGAATGGAATTTTAATTCCAACTTTGTTGTAAGTTTCCAGATAGAATTTTTGTACGTTACTAAAGACTATAATTTAATAATTAAATTAGTGTTTTAAAATTATATATTAATCACAAATAATTTTGGAAGCAGCAAAAAAGGGTCTTTAAAATCCACCTGCTAAAAGTGCAAGAGTGGTCCTCTTGCATAAAAATGCAACGTGTTGCATAAGTAAAACCCTAATACGTCATTAGGCTACTAAACCCCCCTCTTAATCAAATTACTGACCAATAACATCTAATCTGCGGCAATTTTTATTAAAGCTTTACAGCCAGATTCCATACATCATTTAACTGAAGAAATTATAGAGTGGTCCAATAATAAATTTATTTCTCGTGTCTTTTTTTTTTTATATTTCACATTTCAAAATACAACATACATACATATATATAAACACGCAACTAATTAATCTGATTTAGTTATGCCGACCATCCAAAACCATTAGCAAGTTTTGCGTCTTGGATACAAATAACGGACAGAACCATGATGTTTGGAGCATTAACGGTAGCCATGCCTCCAGACAACTTCATGGAATTGTGTACCGCATGTTTTCAACTGATAATTTAAACTCCATCTATTTAAATAAACGAAAGGAATTTCATAAGCCTGTATGATAATAATAATGGCAAATATATACACACACACACACACATAGATATATATAATCAATATGGACTTCTGGGCAGCAATGGCATCATCAGAAATTTTTTTCCATAAATTTATTATTCAACGGTGTGTATTAATTTTAATGAATAACAAATCAAATTTAATAAAAATTGAAAGCGATGTCAAAGCAAACATCAAGAAAGTTAAATTCTTAAAAATATAATTTAGCAAACTTATTTTCTGAAAGTTTCTCAAAGTGATTTTAAGATTATTTTGTAAAATATATATATATATATATATATATCAAGTTTTAAATGCAAATATAATTTATAATATTGAATATATAATATTACTTTAATGAGTAAAGAATAAATCTTGTATTTAAGCAGAATTTATTGAAGAATTAAGCATTTATAATCACCATCCACCTCTTCAGCCATTATCGAAATCTCTAAATGCTTCTTTTTCCTTGAATCTCCACTCTTAGAGAGGAAAAGCGAACTTTCTTCTCAATTACTTTGGATTTTATTTGTTACCACCTTTGTAGCTTAACCAAACTAGAACCTCAAATTTGGAGGTGCAAAGGCTTTCTAGATTAAATATCTTTGCTGCTAAATATGTTGAAGATGCCAAAGTTGAGCATTCAAAAGTAAATTAAGCAAGCTGATTTGCGCAAACTGTTGTCATCTTTGAATAGGGTTTTTGTCGAGATTAATTCAAATGCTATCTTTGGATGGAGGCCTTGAAGTGATGATGTGCTCGTAAGGTCGTGCGCCATAATTTCTGGTTAATGATGATGAACAATTGTCGGTCACTTGTTTGTAATGTTTAATTGCCATGATCTCCCCTCTGAGATCCAACTTTTAAGTCTTCCCTAATGGGAGAATTATTATTTACTTATTCATCTTGTTTCACATTATTAAATTGGCACATCTTAAATTAATTAAATATGAAAACAAAAATTATAAAATATTGACATTCCATAATTTTATTTAATAACGTATAAATAATCATGTATGTATTGTTCAATTTTACTCAAGATTTCAGAACTGCTCCAAGGTCAATTTGTGCCGATTAACTATCAAGTTCTTCTTATTAGTGCAGTTTCTTTTATTCCGGTAAATTTTTTTTTTTTTACTATTATTTTATATTAGTAGCTCATATTAAAAAAAAAAATATTCTTGCAACCCTGTTTTATTATAAACTCTAAGTCAATAATTTCATCATCTATGTTGCATTGACTTCATTTTGATAAGTCAACACTAATTTTGATTTATTTAGCAAAATTTGTATTTATGGATTATATAAAATTTTATTACAACTTATTTTGTGAAAAACTTATCTTTATTTTTGAAAGAGAAAAATCAAAATTCTTACTTAACTAAGTACTACGTGAGTAGGAGTCATTCGTAGAGGCCACTTAAGGATTGGCATGCCTAGAATTACAAAGCTACAAACCATAAGAATTGAAATAAATTTCAATAGTTTTATACGATTTAGAGATAATTTTCTTTTTATTACTAATAAATAATTTGTTAGGTGTCGACGTGTAAAAAATTGTTCATTATGATTTTTTTTTTCTTTTAGATTTTTTTTTTTAAAAAAATTGTAATTAAATTCTCATGTGCTAATATGTCGTTAAATATCATTATTGACATCTTTATTTCATTTTTTTCTTATTAGAATATTCGTAATGTTTTTTTAAAAAAAAATATTTATGAAATTGTTTTATTTATTTATTTTCCAAAAAAAAGGAGCTAAACGTTAAAATGCAGCACCCTTAAAATTAATGAATGATAATTGGTTCATTATCCCTCTAATATTAGTACAAATAAGTGGGGTTGTAATTCTTTTTATTTAAATCTTGAATCTTATTTTCTATTATTTTTTTTAAAGAGATAGAAAGAAACAAACAAGAAAAGAAATCAAATCATATGAAAAAACAAGGATCATAATTTTGATTCATTGACAAATGCTTAGGTCGCAATCGAAAATGGTCCTTCTATCAAATCTAGACCCATTTGCAAGAATTATATAAATATATAAACCCCCATTAATATATACCATATAGAAATGGTAGTGCATATTATAAAGTGTTTATTTTTATATTTGATATGCCAAGGAGACTAATTATTTATTATATATACTGTTGTGGTCGCGGATGGTACACAAAGTAGGGTATTTTTTTAGAGAGGAAAATTTTCTTTCAATGTTAGGTTAGATACTATTGCAAGGTCATATGCTCTCTTTATAATTATCATATCCATGACACGACAGAATTACACCCATGAATTTTTTTAATGTATGCCTTCTATTAATATTTTATTAAAAAATTATTTATTAATTAATTGATGTAGACCACCCTAAGTTTTGCCGGCACCAATGGGCTGACTTCTTCTATACCAACAAGCTGAATTAGCTACAGGAACCATATTTATTTACCTATCTTTGGTGCAAATCCCATATTATTGGAGCCTTAAATATTATAGCATATATATATATATATATATGAATTTGTAATTAAGATAATATCGTATTGTTGTTAAAGAAGTTATCATTTGAATTCGAATTTATATTACTTTATTTAAAAATATTCTCACATTAATTAATTTTGAAAAAATATATACCGTAATATATTCTACTTTTTGACATTTCATAATATTGTATCATAGTAAATGTAACATTTCTTGAACTTTTTTGTGAATGATCGTTTCCTCTTAAGTTGTATAGGATTCAATTAGAGATGATCTTAATTTCAATAGTAAATCTTTCATTTCCAGCAAGATATTTTGTTTTTGTGGTTGATCATGTAAATTATTTTAGACTAAGTCTACATAATATTTATTGATATATTTTAAATTTTTATCAAAAAGTTATAAATTAAAATTTAAAGTATACCAATTACATTAATATAGTCTTACAAGTCATATATGTTCTTGGACCACCTAATAATTTTTCTTTTAAATAAATAAAATGATGAATTAAATGCATAAATTAACTATTATATTTAAGCTTTAAGTATTATTATTTTAGTATAAATTTATATATTTATCAATTATGTAATATATATACATTAATTATAACATAATTTAATATATTTTTAAATAAAAATACACATGAATATAAATTAATTCGAACTCACGTTTCACTTGAAAAGAAAGAGATACACTGACTATTCAAGTAAATTACTATTTGATGTTAAACATTATTAATTAGTGATGGACCACATATGAATAAGATATGTTGATCTCATTCATTTACAAGCTTCTGCACAAATTATGCATACATGTACATATATATACATATATGTGCTTTCGATTTTTGTAATATTGGAATGGTTGAGTATTTTTTTGTTTAAAATTTTTCTCCCACGATTTATTGTTCTATCAAATGAAGATTAAAGTAATCAAATTCGTTAATCTTGTTCATTCTCATTTCCCTTCCCTTCCCAAGTCTAGTGGATGGTCCATTAAACTTACCCTTAAAGAGATATCATGAACGAAGTCTCAATAACCAGCTTTTCTTTTTGGCTTTTCATGAACAATCCAATAGCCTTAGAAACATGAGGGGTGATGGGGCGATTTGAAGGAAATGTCAATTACCGTTGCAGCCCCCTTGATTCCAAAAGGGCATATTTATCTATCATAAAATTATACAAAGCATGACACCCTCACTTTTGAGAGAGTGCAACAGAGGTAGCCAGCATTTTTAGATTTCCTATGACGTTTCTTTATACCATAATATTAATTAAAGCTATCCACTTCTGTAAATCTAGTCTTAGATTCAGCACTACAAGCCAATTAATCCAGTGAATTGAACGTGATGCTGCCAATGCTTGAAGAGATAGTTGGATAAATCTTTTCTATTTGAAGTGTGGCAAATAGTATTGTCAAAATAAAAAAAAAAATATATAATTATATAATCTCATGTAAATATTAATATTAAAATATGTATAAGACAATACAAACACTTGATATTTAAAATTGAGATGTGAATCTACAAAATATGATGTTGAAATTACATAATAGCCGGTCTAAAAATACATTTTAACTTTCATAACCCGACATAAAACGCGAATGTCTTAATATTTAGAGTATACAGATTTTTTATTAAATTATTTATACTCTAATACACTCATTCAATAAGTTCACCGAATAGAAAGTATGAATCAAATACATATCCAACAAAATTTATATGGGATTAATTTTTAATAAAAATAAATTATCGAAATTTGAACATCAGACTTCTAGTTCTAATACTATCTTAAATAATAAAATAACTTATGATTTCAAAAACTTAATACAAAATAAAAATTATCAAATCAATTATTTATACTCTAAATACTTTTAAAACATTTTAAGCCAATAATTAGATATTAATAGTTGATTATGTTAAACCTCCAATATCATAATAATGATTTGAGCTTATTTAGCACTCATTTTAGTCATCACAACTCACATGCACTTATCTCAACATTATATGCATTAAGTTGTTGTTGCAACTCCTAAATTTTTTAATATCATCACATCCCCCACTCCCCAACCCAAGCCTAAAAAAGACTAATACAGGTCATATCAACACCATAATAGCAGACCCAGCTCTATCAATCTTCACTCTCATCCAAGATTGCTTTGTGGTCCTTAGTGAGTATGAAGGTCAACGATTCTTTTAAGATTAAGTCCTTGATAATGCTAAGCTAATGCTTTCTTACTTCGAATTTTGCAATACAATACAAGCAAAGAAAAAATTAGTTCACAAATAAAATATTATTTCATTGTTTCAATATAAAATACTTTGCTACTTTATCTCCAATTATCAGTGCAACTCAAAGGGGTATGAATTGAGTTCCTTAAGTGTTTTATAATTTTTAAAATTTTATTCAAACACCTAACCATTTTTAGGTTTTTAATGACTAACTTCTAATTAATTTTGATAATAATATACAAAAAATAAATAAGACTCAAACTTACTTAATACAACTCGAGAACAATAAATATAAGTAAATAAAAAAAAAATCAAGGAAGAGAAGATGCAAATACAATTTATTGAGGTTTAGCCTAGCACGTGTGGACAACTCCGCAAGTTACTGCTTGAGATAATAACCTTCTTGGTTACAACTACTTGTTTTTCTCGTGATAACAAGATACATCTCTCACAATGATTATTATTTATGGAGCCAAGCTCACTCTTATAGTACTCGTTTATTCTTGATGTCAAGTTCTCCCTTGTAATATTTGTTATTTCTAATGTCAAGCTCACCTTTACAAGTGCTTTCTCAACACTTGTTACCCAAGAGAGCTCATATTCTTTCTTTACAACACCCAAGAGAATGAATAGAAGCTCAAGGCTCAAATTTTTCTCTCTCTAAAAGTAAATATATAAATTGAAGTTCAAAGATTTATAGTTAAAGTTAAAAGAGAGTAGAAGAAAATGATTTTTGAATTTTAATCTTTAAAATAATCAGCTTGATCTAATTTTTTTCGTAGAAAAAATCAAAAGACATCATGGGACATTTTTTTGAGTCACCAATTACGATTCTTTTTATCATCGTTAGTCATAACTCAAATAACAAAATTTTTTGAGTGAATACTCGTATATTTAATTAATTAGATGATATATATACATAAATCATAATACAAATTCTTCACAAAGAAACAAAACGTATTACGAAACTCAAACTCACAGTTTCTTATTAAAATAAATAAAATATCAACCATTTAATTAAAGAATAATCAGTCAAATACCATATTTACTTTCTTCCTTGCATTATATGACTTTCATATACATTCTTCTAACTCCTCCATCTGCCAAGTTATCCAGTCTTCATCATCACCATCCTAATATTTAAACACTTTCAAGTTCAAATAGATCTTCTTCTTCCTGCCAAAGTCACACGAATCTCACATCTGATCATCTATCAGATTCCAAAATATTGGGATATTGAAATTTGCATACTCTCTTTCCCATTTTTAACGCCTCTACTCAATCTTCATATTCAAAATGCTATATTTAGTTATGAGCAACCTGATTTTTTTTTCTCCAATGTTTGCTTTGGTTTATTTATATCAGCTACTTGTTTCCCTGAAAAAGAGAGTAGTTTTTATTGGCTCTGGCCTCTGGATATTACTGCACGCACAAAACACATGCGTCCAAAAACATATATAAAACTTGTTAAATTTATTGGACCATTAATAACCAGACATGTGATGTAGACGATAGTAAATAGATAGGAAATTAAAGAACATTGTTTTAATGGAGAAAACGATGGGAAGAAAAAAAGAGAAAATTCATTCTAACCAATTAGCTGTTGCCATGTCAGCCAAACCATGGTTTCCTGTAGTACGAGCAGTTCTCAGTTGGACTGTTTTTCCAATTTGTGATGTTATATATTTTAATTCTGGACCCCCTCCCCCACTTGCTCCATTAAACAAATCTGGCAAGCAACCTATATAAGATAATAGGTTTCCTGTCACCCCAATCAAACACAAAAAGCTTAATACCCATGTTTCATAATTTTGTATGTTTCAATGGGTTTTTCTTTGTTATGTTTGGGACGTGAGAAAATGAAAGAAAATAAATTTATTATTATTTGAAAGCAATTTAGAAAAGATGCGATCATCGCCCACGTCACTAGCTATTAAGAGCTCCTTCTCCTCTCAACTTGCAGCGGTCTCTCTCTTGTTCTACTCAGCATGATCTCTGCCATTTCATTTTATCTATTTTGGCATTCTCTGTCCACCATCTCCCATCACGTTCTTCATCTGCAATATTCTCTGTCCCAGTTCATCTCTTTCTCTCATCTCTCATCCATATTCTAATCTCCGTCATGATCACCATGCCCAGAAACCAGGGAGAAGTAGGCTCTCTTCTATTCTTCTTCTTCTTCTTCCTCTTTTCTCTGCATCTCCGTCTCTAGCTAGAACTAATTAGTATCATGCATGGGTGTTATTATCTTCTTAATTAAGGTTGTATAATTTCTGCTAAATGCTGGTATGGTGTTTGCGGTTTTTAGGTCATGTGGCCTAGATTGGTAGTCAATAAGATCCTTAGAAAGCGATTGGGAAGCAATAATTTTGTTGCTGATATTCCCAGCATCGACAGCAATGAAACAGTGCTACAAGTTCCTAGCTCTTTCAGCCGTACCTCCTTCTGCATTAATCGCCACGACACATACAACTACAAGTAAGAAATTACTGTCTATATATACATACATACAACCATATATAGATAGATATAAGATATTCTCCTCAAACCCATTAGTTTCTGATCATTATTATTTCTACCCACTATAAAATAATATATACTTAGTTTTCTCTAACTCATGTAATTATTACTCTAATAATTAAACTTGATTGGTAATGCCTTTTTCTTTCCTGGTTGAATACTAAAGGGTTTTTGTTAGTACGTGGAACGTCGGTGGGGTTGCACCAGATCACGACGTGGATTTAGAGGATTTGTTGGATACATGCAACGACTCCTCCTGTGACATCTACGTCTTTGGGTAAAGAAAATTGCTATCCTCTACTTTCCAAAATGTTCCTCCTGATAGAGACTACAACTCAGAAGTAACTAATCATATATTTACATGTGGTGATATATATCAGATTTCAAGAAATTGTGCCTCTTAAAGCCTCCAACGTGTTAGGATCAGAGAACTGCAAAATTTCCTCAGAGTGGAATTCTTTGATTAGGGACGCCTTGAACAAGAGACAAACAAGTCATACAGTGGGAAAGAATCTGAAAGATTTGTTTGCAACTGAAGAAAATTTGAAAGAAAGCAGCAATTTTCCCCAAGAATTTCAGTGTATAATAAGCAAGCAGATGGTTGGAATTCTAATATCTGTTTGGGTTCGAAGCGATCTTCGTCCTTATATCCATCATCCTAGTGTTTCATGCGTTGGCTGTGGCATCATGGGCTGTCTTGGAAATAAGGTAGCAAGTTACTTATCTAATTTTTTAAAATAATTATAGTCTGTTAAGAAAAACATTTTTTCCCTTGATTTCTCAAGTTTGATCTTATATAATTTATCGTTTCAATTTACTGTTTAGTTTTTCTTTCTTAATTTGATCCTTCAGTTAAATATTTAGATAGATATGTTGATATATTTATGTAGAAATTACGTATTAATTATATATGTACAGAAGCACATTCCTTCGGAATGAGCTTGAATTTTGCATTCTTTTCCTGTTGATAAAGAGTAATTTGGTCAAAGTTATTTGTAGGGTTCCGTGTCAGTTAGATTTCAATTACATGAAACCAGCTTCTGCTTTGTTTGCTGCCATCTAGCTTCTGGGGGTAGAGAAGGTGACGAAAAGCACAGAAACTCAAACATGTCTGAAATTTTGTCAAGATCAAGCTTTCCTAGAGGCTCCTCCTATAATTTGCCGAGGAAGATTCTCGATCATGAGTATGTTATAAAACTTAATTTATTCATTAGTTTATTTTTGAATCGGTCCAAATTAATAATTATGCATGCATGTAACACACACACACACACACACACACATACTGCATGATATATGTTTTCTTTCACTATAATCAGCGTTTCTTTTCAGAAAGATTGAGAAAACAAGAAATGAACTCCACAATTACTTAAAAAGCTTATTGCTGTTCGTTTCTAACTTTGAAGTTGTCGTGATCCACTTGATCCCCGAGATATAAAACTCGTATCATTTAGTTTAGTTACTAGCAACTAGTTTATTGTCAGTTTATTTTTTCATATATATATATATATATATATATGTATTACAAATATTCGTATCAGTGACTTTTATTCCTCCAAAACTAATCATGGGTAGTAGTTGAATTGTATAGATATTTTTAGTTATGTGGGATTAATTAATAGTTATTAATAGGCCAAGAAACTACCAGAACATAATGGTTTTTATTATGATAAACCATCTTTCGGTTTGATAATCCTTTTGTTTAAGCAAATTGACTTCTTAATCAATGAAAAATTAAACAAAGATTAATTTGTTAGACCCATGAAAAGTTACTTGATTAATTAATTAACAACTTTAATGAGTAAGAATATCTTGATGATATCAGCTAATCATGGTTTTGTTTAGTGCAGTCGAGTTATTCTCCTTGGAGATTTGAATTATAGAATTTCTCTAGCAGAAGAGACAACTAGATCATTGGTGGATGTAGGAGAATGGAATGCCTTATTAGCAAATGATCAGGTACTTAATTAGCCTAAGTAACCGATCTTTATATTTATTTTTTAATGATTATTTAATAAGCACTAAAAATATATACCACCACAAATTATTCTAATATATATTTAACCATAAATTAATTAACTAAAAGTCAATAACTTGAATTGAACATGAATTAGCTAAGGATGGAGCTGGCGGATGGTCAAGTATTCCAAGATTGGCAAGAAGGAGAAATTAAATTCGCTCCTACATATAAATATTTTCTCAATTCAGATGAGTATTACGGATGTGTTCAACGAAGAAAAGGCGAAAAGAAGCGTGCTCCTGCGTGGTAATTAATATTAATTTGAGCATATCCATATAATTAACATTAGTCTTCATTAACTTAATAAGCTCAAGTTGTTATAATCAAGCAAACCGAAATCATGAATCTGATTTCGTTTTTGGTTTATACTTCAGGTGCGATCGAATAGTCTGGTATGGGAAGGGATTAAAGCAACATTTATACAGTAGAAGTGAATCAAAGTTGTCTGATCATAGACCAGTCAAAGCAATATTTAGCGCTCAAGTTACAAAATCACATGCATGCGAAAATTTCTCAAATTTCTTCTTATCAGACAGGTTGGATCGAGTAACCCAGTTCGCTTCAACGGATGACTTTATGTGTAAACACAGATCTAGTTTTCATATTTAAGGATAAATTAATTAGTTGAACATATCAAGTGGTTCTAATTATATATATAAAATATGTGTAATTAACCAAAAAAAAAGAAAGAGCAGACGACAAAGGAATTTTCCTCTTCCTTGTTTGAGCTTAATTGCATCTGCTGATGAGTGTGTACAGATTAATACTTAATGAAGTTTCTTTAAACCCATATTAAGGAACAGAATTTCTGTAATAATTAAATTCTAGCCAGTGAGTTCCAATATGCATGAAAGCTAATTAACCACATGCTCATGGACTTAATCAATTTCAAGTTTCAAAAAGCATTGCCCAAGGTGCAATCTAGAAGCATGATCTTAATTAATTAGTACGAATTCTAATCTATTAGGATCTGAAAAATGTATTTAATTAAATTTTTTTAAGGCAATTTGTCAATAATTTTGGAATTAAATATTGTTTAATACATAAAGAGCACTGCATGCAAAGCTAGTTTCTTTTATGAATAATAATTATGATTTAACAAATGCAAGTGGCTCAATTGAAGACATTGTGGATGTGTTTTCATCTATTTATATATTTCATCACTCCAATATGGTTGTTAGCCTCAAAATAATAAGGATAATTGATGTGAATAAAAAGCTATAGATTACAAAGGGGTAGCACCTGTTCCATATGGGATTTGAGATTTGGGAAAATTATTGTTTCCATCATCACATAATATTATCCTAATAAGTAGTGACGAAAGATATAATAGTTATTAATTTTTATATAAAAATACATTTATTTATTTTTTTAAAAAAATTAAGTTATAAATTATAATTATTTCAATACATAAAATATTCAACTATAATATTTAAAACATAACCATAAGACTGTATAATAGAATGATTGCAAGATAGATTTATTAACGTACATAAATAGAAGAATCCATATAAGTGCAGTTGATCAAATAAATCTTACCAGATTCTCATGAAGGCACTTCTGAATTTTTAAAGTTCATATTGTGGTTTGATTACTAGTAGTTGCATATTTCTTGACACTAATTTTTATAACACATTTATCGACTATCTTTTAAGATAATAGATCTTATTTATTCTTTTTCTAACTCTTATACTGTTAGTAAACTTATTCACGAGTTAAATAAGCAACTTTATACTATATTTGTAACACCCAAAATTTTTCTTTATTATTTTATTATTTATTTTTATTTTATTTTAATTTTTATTAGAATTTTTGTTTAATTTTATTCTATTTTAATTTTTAATTTATAAAGTTTTAATTTAATTTAAAAGAAATAAAAATAATAATAATAATAAAATACGGTAAAATTATTTTTTAGATTTAATTGAAATTGATTTTGGAAAAAAAAAAAGTGAAAATTTAGATTCTGGGGGTGTTTTTTGAAAAGAAAATCGAAAATCGGGGGTCAAAACGCAATTTAGAAAAATAGTGCCACGACAGCAGCCATGACAGCAGCCCGGTCAGCAGCCCCGGCCAACCAGGACACGCCGCATGGCAGGGACACTGACGCGGGAAGCCATGCGGGATGAAGACACATTGGCGATCCGCATGCGCACGATCAAACGGCCCAGATCCGTTCCCGCGCGTATGGACGGTCCAGATCAAAGGCGCGCGTGGACGGCCCATATCTCACGTGTGCGGACGGTCCAGATTTGATCACGCACGGACAGCCCAGATCATATCACGATGGACGGCCCAAATTTATTTCCAATTTAATCGTGATCGGACAGGCCAGATTAAATCATGATGGACGGTTCAGATTAAAATGAGAAGGTTATAAATAATCGCATCCACACCCAACCCCAAACCCTAGCCGCCAGAACCCTCGCCAGAGAAGATGACCCAGCCATCGGAGGAACCGGCCGCCGCCATCCGCCGCCGCACCGGAGGACTTTCCGGTCGCCAAACGATGTAAAATTTCTCCTCTTGGCTCGCTTTTCGATGCCGAACCTCCCTGTGGCCAAATCGGAGCCAAACCACTAGCTGATTGGCCGAAAAACACTGCCGAAGTCCAGCGGCGCCGCCGTGGGTTTTTTTAATTTTTGCCTCCGATGAGGCCTTTTTCGTTTCCCGTTTGATGTAATTTTTATACCACTGTGACCACCGTCCTTTTCTCTACAGGTTGATCGGAGTAAAACACCGAATCACAACTCGTGCCGGAGGAGCCGCCGTACCCGAGAGTTTCGCCGCCGGTAAGTCTCGATTTTCTGGAATTTTTTGTCCCACCGAGGGCCCTATAGGTGTTTTATCACAGGAACCAATACAATTTTGGCCGAATTCAGCCGAAAAAAGGCGAAAATGGCCAACCCGAGGCAAATCGCCGTCGTGGGCAGCGGCACCGTCGCCGGAGCATGGCGGAGCTGCCGTGCCAGAATTTTGAAATTGGCTGAAAGGGCCCTGGGTCTGATTTGGGATTTTTTGAGGACATGTGCAGGTACCGGAAGTGTGTTTCAGTTTTCGAAAAAAAATTCAGGGAATCTAGGAACTGCCCGTAGGCGCAGTGAGAACCCGATTTCAAATTCCGAAAACAAATAAGGATCTCTCACTCTATTTCCTATCACGACATTAAAGCTTAATAAATGATAAAACGGTATTTTATGAATTAATATATATGTCTAATTGATTAAGGTTGCTAATGGAGCCCGAATCTGATATATTTTCGGTAAGGTGTTGTTTGATTTATTTTGCAGTTTTGAATACAGTATGGTGCCCGATGTGTTTATTCTATGGTTTCATATGCATGAATTACGGTTTCATTTATTATGCTTTGAATTATTGTGAACCCGATGTTGTGTTGCCTTGTTTGGTGTCCATTACTAGTTTACGTGTTTGTGTTTGATTGGATAATTGAGATTAAAAAAAATGGTAAAAAGATATGTGAATTGATAATGGATAATGTCGACAGCCTCACTAGATATCCTGAGAGATGGTGGACGGATCGGGTCTATAAGGAACCCTACTAGGAACGTGGTCTCTCATATCAGACAAGGTATAAAGACTTTATGTATTTTGGCGCCCATACCAGACGAGGTATGGGGACGGCCCGTTTCATCCTCATACCGGACGGGGCATGATATGTGTTATGTTGCAGAGTGTGCGCGATCTTATAATATTTATGATGTAATTGTTTTCATAAATTGTTTTCATGAATCTCACCGATGTAGGTGGACAGTAAAGGGTTTTATTATTGATAAATGAGTTTGTTATAAATTATGCTTCATTGGTCGTGTTCATTTTCTACCAACTTTTACTTCTGTGATAGTGAGATAGTGTGATGTCTTTACTGAGCTAGTGTAGCTCATTCCTTACTTAACCATTTCAGATCAGGAGGACTTGGTTCCCGAGCCCGTTCTGCAGGAAGACGGCGAGTAGAAGCCAAAGAATTTATTAGTTTTCCTTACAGCATTCATTCAAAGTATTTCCTTTAAGTTAGTTTATTCTTTCATACTTTAATTCATTTTGGTTATTCTGTAAGGGATGTTAATCATAATCTATTTTATTTCGCTTCCACACTTAAAATAAATATTTCTTTTTAATTTTCAGACCCATCTCTTACACAATAATATTTAGAGAATCCCAAACTAAGAATTATTACTCAACCGTTCCTTGTGAAATGCAGGTGCAGAGAGATGAGGAGAGGGAGAACCCCACTAAACCGAGCAGCCCGGGATGATTCACTTTGGGAGGATGTTGACAGAAAATTTGAAATGCTCGAAAGGATCATAGCTGCTCAACAAGGTCGATAGGAGAGAAGGGAATTACCCGACCCTCCCCCACTACCACAGTTTAAGCCACCGCTACAGCAGGCGGATCCTGAGCCACCCCAGCAAGAGCCTGCTCCTCCATAGTACCACCCGGCACCACCGCTGCAGTATAATCTGGTGCCTCAGCCACAGTATTGTCCGGCACTGCCACAGTATCATCCAGTGCCCCAATATATCAATAGGTGCCACCACAGGGCCCCCCAGTCTATCCTCAGCTCGGCCCAGTCCCTCTTCCATGGGACCCAGCTCCTTCCCTGATTGACCCGAGCTACGTAGAGAGGTACAGGAGACTAAACCCTTCCACTTTTGTAGGAGAGTCATCTTTCGAAGATGCCCAGTACTAGTTGACGGAGACAGAGAAGGCTTTCAAGACCTTAGGAGTGGTTCCTGAGCAGAGGGTTACTCTTGCTTCCTACATACTAGTGGGGGAAGCAGATCGTTAGTGGGAGTTCAAGCGATCTAGGCTCCCCCTCAAGCTCCAGGGGCAGCACGTGGCAAGATCTGTCAGCACTGCAGTAGGGATCACGGGGACCGACCATGCTATCACCTCAACAACACCTGTCGCATATGTGGTAGTGCCTAGCACTATGCGAAAGAGTGCCCGAGGAACCAGAACCAATGAAAACCTCATTTTCAAGGCAGGGTTTACAACCTCACACAGCAGGATGCCAACGCTGACTCGGACGTGGTACAGGGCAAGCCCAAGAAGAAAATTTGTATCCAAGAGATTCCGGTAGTCCGAGACTTTTCAGATGTATTTCTGAACGAACTGCCCGGACTGCTAGTGGATAGGGAAGTTGAGTTCACTATAGACCTACAACCTGGCACCCAACCCTTTTCAGTTGCTTCCTACCGCATGAGCCGTGTTGAGATGGAAGAGCTGAGGAAACAAATCACTGAATTGCAAGACAGTAGTTTTATTAGACACAGTGTGTCTCCTTGGGGTGCTGGAGTCAGTTTGCCAGAAAGGGAGATGGAACGTTGAGACCGTGTATTGATTACAGAGGATTGAACAAAGTCACAATCAAGAACAAATACCTCATTCCCAGAATTGACGACCTCTTCGATCAGCTGTAGGGTGCGCATGTCTTCTCCAAAATAGACTTGCGATCAGGTTACCATCAAGTAAAAATAAGAACAGAAGACATTCCCAAAACAGCCTTTCGAACCAGGTACGGGCACTATGAGTTCCTGGTCATGCCATTTGGGCTAACCAATGCCCCAGCCATATTTATAGATCTGATG